TAGCTCATGAAAAAGTTGGTTTAACTGCAATATATACAGAAAAGCAGTACTCTGCCCTGAAAACCAAAGGACAGACCATGCTCTTAAACTCTTCCCTCCGGTGGCTTCACTCTACCTATGTGTGTGTCTGGACTGGAATGTGGAGAAGCCTCTGGAGAAAGGGAGAAAGTGGGTTGAAACTGGGCTCTACCTTTGAGAGGCTCTATCTGCCTCTCATAATCTCTAGAATGATGTGGGTTAGTGATAATATTTCAAATATCCTGTGATAGCTGGGCCCAGTGGTGCATACATATAATCGAATAAACTGGATAGGTTGAGGCAGGAGGATGCAAGTTTGAGGACAGTCTTGTCTCAGCAATTTTGCAAGACCCTGTCTCAAAATAAAAAATAAAAAGGACTGGGGATGGAGCTCTGTGGTAGAGAGCCTCTGGGATAAATCGCTAGTATCAAGACGAAAAAAAGAAAAGAAAAAATCCTGTGATATTGGAACAGACATGGATTCCTTTTATCAAAATTTGTTCTGAAAGAAGAAAGCTTTTTCTGAATGTTAACAAGGCTCAGGGCTGAGGGTGTAGCTCAGGGATAGAGTGCTTGCCTAGCTTATGGGAGATCCTGTTCAATACTTAGCAACAGGCACAAAAAAAAGATGCTTATCAGATCGGATGAATTTCTATCTGTTTTATCTGAAGTTTACAGAAAGAATGAGATAACCAGAAGAAATGCTTACGAAATGCTTTATTTGTATTTTTCCTCCTTACAATTATCAATAACTCTGACATGCTTTATTAAAACAAACAAACAAACAACAACAAAAAACATTGATTCTTCTGGATACGGTGGGGTATGCCTATAATCCTAGAAACTCCCAAGCCTGAGACAGGAGGATTGCAAATTCAAGGCCAGCCTGGGCAACTTTGTGAGACTCTGGTCTTAAAATAAGAAAATAAAAAGAACTGGGGATGTAGGTCAATGGGAAATCTTCCCTGGGTGCAATCCCTAGTACCAAAAAAAAAAAAAAAAAAAAAAAAAAATTAAATTAAAAAGTCAAAGCAAACTTTGTGAATTTGCTGACCTCTAGTGGACAGAATAGATTATGACTATGAACTATTCAAACAATTCCAGATGGAACATTTGCTAAATACAGTATTTAAAAGGTATTTGCCAAGGGCTGGGATTGTGGCTCAGAGCAGTGGTAGAGCGCTTGTCTAGCATGTTCTAGGCATTGGGTTTGATCCTCGGCACTACGTAAAAATGGCTAAATAAAATAAAAGTATAAAAAATGTGGTATCTGCTTTAAAAAAAAAAAAAGTTATTTGCCAAGATGGCAGATTTTAGATGCTCTTTTCTCCCTCTCTCTCCCCACCACATACACACCTACACAGTAACTATGTAAGAATATAGACATAATTAATTTGCTTGACTGTAGTATTATTTCACTTTGTGAATATATATCAAAAACATTGTGGGGCTGGGGTTGGGGCTCAGTGGTTGAGCACTTATCCAGCACATGTGAGGCACTGAGTTCCATCCTCAGCACTCCATAATAAATAAATAAATTTATAAAAACCACATCATTTGTACACTTAATACAAATATATACATTTTAAAACAAAGCAAAGGGCTGGATTGGGGCTCAGTGGTAGAGTGCTTGCCTAGCATGTGTGAAGCACTGGGTTTGAATCTCATCACCACATATAAATAAGAAATAAAGGTCCATTGACATCTAAAAAAAAGCAAAATGTTGGGCTTTGGGTATGGTTCAGTGGTAGAGCCCTTGTCTAGCATGAATAATAATCAATGAAAATCTTAAATTGGGCATGGTGGTCCATGCTTATAATCCCAGCTACTCAGGAGATGGAAGCAGAAAGATTGAAAGTTCAGGTGAGGCCAGCCTCTGCAACTTGGCGAGATCTTCTGTCTCAAAATAAAAAGTAAAAAGGGCTGGGGCTGTTGCTCAGTGGTAGAACATCTTTGGATTTATTCCCAGAAAAAAGGAAGAAGAAAGTTAATTTAAAAACGAGACAAATGAACATTGCCTTGCACATGTGAGGCACTGGGTTTGATCCTCAGCACCACATGAAAATAAATAAAGATATTGTGTCCATATAAAAAAAGATCTTTTTTTTTTTAAATGAAACATAGAACTGCTTTTTTGGTTGCTATTTTTTGTTTTTTGCTTTTAATGTAAAGACAGTAGGCTAAGAACATAGTTCAGAGGTAAAATATGTATTTAGCATGTACAAAGGCTCTCTGTTCAATCTACAGCACCAAATAATAAGAATAATAGAAAAGACAATTTGTTTTTAAAAGCACCATTATTTAAAATCCCAGATATAGTTTTCTCAGTATTTCCTAGTAGAATCCACCCAAAGATCTGGACCATTTTTATTTCCTCTCTTTCTGCCTTTAATTTTCCGATGATCAAATGCAAAGAGTTGTCTACTGACATTGGCATCCCCCACCCCCTCTCTCATTTCTGAGCATCAGAAAATCATCACCACCACCTTTTGTAGGCACTCTGTATAATAGCATTATCAGCAAATTCATATCAAAATTATAAATGTTGGGCTGGAGGTATAGCTTAGTGGTAGAATTTGTGATTAGCAAAGCGATCATCAATCCATTGTAATTATTATAGGCAGATAAAGAAAAACAATTTAGGGGATACTTAACCATGTACTGGTGTTGTGCTTGATAATGTCATTTATTGGAAGTGCAAGTGTAGAGGGGGCTCAAAAAATGTTTTCTGATTTTCTTTCAGATGATGTGACTCCAGAAACATTCACAGAAGATCCCAGTAAGCTATCCACCCGCACTGTTTTTTTTTTTTTTTTTTGTAACTTTCTTGCTATCATATTGGGAATACAAGGGTTGAGGATAATGTCTGACCAAAAAACAAACAAACAAACAAAAACTTGGTCGGCATTGTGTGCTCACCCAGACCAGAGCTCTCTTGTCTTTTTTTTGCCCAGATTGAACCCAAGGGCACTCATCCATTGAGCCCCTAGCCCCAGTCCTATTTTGTATTTTATTTAGAGACAGGGTCTCACTGAGTTGAGTTGCTTAGCTCCTCACTGTTGCTGAGGCTGGCTTTTGAACTCACAATTCTCCTGCCTCAGCCTCTCACAATTCTCCTGCCTCAGCCTCTCAAGCTGCTGGGATTACAGTTATACACCACTGTGCTTGGCTCTTGCCTATCTTAGAAGCCACCATTGCAGTAAAAATATTCAGTCTTATTACCTCTTTCATTTCTTTCTTTACCCAAGAGTCCACATGCCCTCATTTTTATCCTTCTCATCACCTTTTAGATAATCATCCCCTTTATCCTGCTTCTGGTAGATACTTTTTTCACCTGCATTTTTCATTCCCTGTTTTGTACCTTTGCAGATCTGGTGAATGAACCTTCAACAGATGAAACTGGTAAGTTTCACTGAAGTTCTTAAAAAAGGCATGATCTGCCAGGAGTGTAATCCCACATGCCTGTAATCCTAGCTACTGAGGAGGCTGAGGCAGGAGGATCGAAAGTTTGAGATCAGCCTTACCAACTTAGACCCTTAACAACAACAACAAAAAAGACTGGGGATGCTGCTTTGTGGTAAAGCACCTGGGTCCAGTCCCCAGTACCAAAAGAAGAAGAAGAGAAAGAAAACTCTGATTCATGATGTTGTTAAAAATATTCCAGATCTTGAATGGATCTTGAATTCTTGAATTAATGCTACATTTTAAGCTCTAAATAAAGGGGTTGTGGGAGTGTTGTTCAGTGACCATGGGATAAGAGAGGTCGATAGTCCTTTAAAAAGTGGAACAAAGTGAACTAATAGCTAAATAAGGCTTAGATAATAATACAAGCATTCAAAAATTAATATAATCTCAATAGGAGCAATATTCTTCAAAAGATATTCCCAATTAACTTCATAAATTCTATTCCCTTGGACATCATACACAAAGGCAGCAGTGGTCCTGACCTTGCCCTCTGTTCTTCTTTTTCCTACTCTCCCTTACCCCTTGCATTTCAAAGCCCTCCTCACACCTGCTGTTTTGTGCCTTTTCAGTTCTGGCTGATATGGAGCCTTCCACAGATGAACTGGGTGAGTTCAGATCTGGGATCCCAGGACCGTGAGGGCCATTCTGGATTTTCCCTAGAGCCCATTATGGGAGGCAGTGCAGCTGCTGAAGGATCCTAAATAGATGATAGCAGATGTAGCATGTTCTTCCATTAGGCCAATTTAAATTAATGACATTTTGAACCCATAATGAGCAGAAACTGCTGTTGGCTATACAAAGTACCAAGATGTGATCTTTCTCTCAAAGTTTCCAAGGCTAAGTGAGACAAGAGACAAATACAGAAACAAACTTTTGGGAGGATAAATGAAGTTTTCTAGAAGGAATCCTTGAAACACACCCCCCACCACTTTTTTCTTTTTGGTACCAGGGATTGAACCCAGGGGCATTTAATCACTGATCCACATTCCTAGGCCTTATTATATTTTATTTTGAGAAAGAATCTTGCAAAGTCACTTAGGGCCTCCCTAAATACCTGAGGCTGGCTTTGAACTAATGATCCTCCTGCCTCAGCCTACCTCACTGCTGGATTAGAAGTATATGGCCTCACATCTGGCTTGAACTAAACCTTGAAAGAAGAATTGGAACAAGATAAAACAGTCAAGGAGGTGTCCTTCCAATGAGGAGTACCAACAACATGTTCTAAGATGTGAAAACAAAATGGACTTTAAGTCAGGTGTGGTGCTGCCAGGCTTCGTACCTAGCTATTCAGAAGATTGAGGCAGGCCAGCTGCAGTGGCATGTTATGTAGGAGACTTTGGAGTCTGAGGCAAGAAGATCACAAGTTCAAGGTCAGACTCATTAATGAGACATTATCCCAAAATAAAAAGGGCTGGGTGTGTAGCTCTGTATAGAGTATCCCTGGGGTCAATCCTCTTTACTCCCCACCACGCCCCCTTAAAAATAAATGAAGCTGGAGCATTGTTTGATCACAGGAATTGGAGGCCAACCTGGGCAACACGGCAAGATCCTTTCTCAAAAACAAACAAAAAACACAAAAACACCAGAGCTGTGGGTGTCGCTTAGTGGTGGATGGCTTGCCTAGCACATGAGATCCTGGGTTCAATCCCTAGGAAAAAAGAGACTGAGAAAAGAAAAACACAGTAGAGTTTAGTACAAGAGGGAAACTGAGGGTTTTTGTTTATTTGTTTGCCACACTGGCGATTGAGCCCAGGGTGCTCTACCACTGAGCTAAATCCTCATCCCTTTTTATTTTTTATTTTGAGAAGGGAGGCTCACTAAATTGTCCAGGTGGACTTGAATTTGTGTTTGTCCTGTTTTAGCTTCCTAAAAAGCTGGGATTACGGGTGTGGGACACCACAGGGGTAAGGAACAAGTGGTAGCGGGTGGAAACTGAGGTTTTTAAATGATGAGGGGCAAGGAACAAGTGGTAGGTAGTAAGAAAAGGAGATAGAAGATAGTTGTTTTTATTTGTTTGTTTGTTTGTTTCCTTTTTGATCTTGGAGAGTAAGCAAAACTTCCACCATTAAGCTACATCCCCATTCTGGAAAAGAGGATGGTTAAAATGATGTTCAGTTTTCTAAATGTGGTTATTCAGTGATTGGTGGTACCATTGCTGAAAACAACTCAAATTGGAGGAGGAAAAGATAATAAGTGAGTTTAAGATATGTTGAATTTGAAGAATTTTAAAAAATTCAGTAACACTTCCATAAAATGGTGATTGAATCTGTAGATTTGGGGTTTAAGAGTGAGATCTGGGCTAGAAACAGGGTTTGAAATTAAGAGCACAGATCTGCTTTAACCTTGGGGTGAATGATATCAGCTATCACACATCCTAGTCAATCTCTCTCTCTGATTTTTTTTTTTTTTTAGTAGTAGGGATTGAATCCAGGGGCACTTTACTACTGAGCTACATCCCATTTTTATCCTTTATGTTTGGAGACAAGGTCTCACTAAATTGCTAAGGCTGTCCTGGAACTTGCAGTCTCCTGCCTTAGCCTCCTATATCTCTGGGATTATAGGCCTGGGCCATCACGCCCTGTGGGAAAAGTCTTTGGGAGAGTTAAATAGAAGGGATACATGGTGGTGCATGCCTGTAATCTCAGCACTCAGGGGACTGAGACAGGAGTATCACAAGTTCCAGGACAGCCTCAGCAATTTAGCTAGTCCCTAAATAATTTATCAAGACCCTGTCTCAAAATAAAAAGTAAAAAGGGTGGGGATGTGGCTCAGTGGTTAAGCACCCCTGGGTTCAATCCCTGGTACCAAAGGGGGGAAGAAAAAGACATTTTTTCCCCAAAAGCTCCCTGAATAGTGTATCCCCTTAACCACATCTAAGTCCTTGACCTGTTGTCCATTCTGAAAACTAGCCTGTATCAAGCTTGCACCAGGGCAGGTTTGGCTATAAATACAACCTTTGCTATTTTTTATCCAAACAGCTTTTATCAAAGAATCCATGATAATGTCTTTAATCTATAGAAAATAGACCTAAGAGTGAGGAGGAGCTTCTATAGGATAATATGTTTTCTCCTTAGCTCTAG